CTGGGTCTGCGTTTGTGATTGGTTGGGAGGAAGTAATGACTGTAGTAAAAGCTACATGATAGGCTATGATGAAAAAGAAAGGGAAACTGTGTTTTTCTATCGAACTTTTTATCGACCCGTTTTTTTTCTATCGCACCACACGTCTATCGATCGATATATATTGTTATCGAATTATCGTCCAGCACTAATCTGGAGTCAGCCCCACTTGCCTGCCTGTGTAAAATATGACTTCCTCATAGTGCAAAAAGCTTTTTTTGAGTGTTTTCATTTGTATGTTATCCCATATTGATATGAAAAATGGCTAGAATAGCTTATTTGTGCTCAGTTTTCCATCACATTTCATTTCTGTTTGCACCTACATCCAGAATATGATCTTAGCTTCATGGGAGAATCATTTGGACATACCTGCATGTCCTGGATCCTTAAGTTATTTGTCAACCCTAGGATCCAGGACATGCAGGTATGTCCCAATGATTTTTGTGTCATTATCTTTTGATTAAAAATGGCCAATTCTGATGAAGAAGAAACGTCACCTGTGGGAGACATGAACGGAGCGGCTGCACATTTCCAGCATGGTTAGCAGAGGATGGTTTCGATCCATCGACCTCTGGGTTTTAGGCCCAGCACGCTTCCACTGCGCCACTCTGCTATTTTATTTTATTTTATTTTTTTTCAAGGTTTTTAGTCTTGTGTTGGGAGAAACCGAAGCACTCGGAGTAAACCCATTCGCTGGTGGCCATGTATGGGCCTGAAGTCTGTCCTCATATCCATCTAGGACTTCATGCGCGACAAGCTGCAGTTAGGCGGGAAGCCCAGGGGGTCCAAGCTGAAGTGAAAGTCCGGAGAAGACATCTGAAGAACTTTTGGATGGAGCTGGGTCTTTCTGATGAAAAATGCTTCATTAGAGCCTCAGCCACAGCCTCAAGGAGTGGTTGATCCTCTTCCAAGAGATTTAACCAAAGAACTGAAGCATCAACATTTTTGAGCACTTCTTTGTACACAGCTTTGCATTTCTTTTTGATGCTTTTCAGGCTCAAATCCACATTAACAGAAGTACCACTCATCTTTTCATACAGCATGTCTGTCAGTCTGGCTTCAGCTGATTTGTAGGTCTGATCGGGGAAGAAATTTTTCATGACTTTGCGTAAGAACATCTTCACAATGATTTGGCAAATCAGTGGGTCCCACTTCTTTAGAACAGATTCAGTGTTTTGACCAGATGGTTTTGCCACCTGAGCCTGTTCTACTTGCTCCTCAGCTGTGTAGACCTCTTCCTTCTCCTCCTCATCTGAGCAGGCCTCTTCTTCCTCCTCCTCATCTGAGCAGGCCTCTTCTTCCTCCTCCTCAGCTGTGAAGCTTTGAACCTCCTCTCGCACAGGTGTGGGGCAGGTCTGATCCTCAGCTCCAGTTTTGGGGGGACTGAGATCTGACTGGTTATTCTGCACAAATCTCCTGAACTTCTTGAGAGTCATGCTCACACAGTCCTTCCTAATCTTGCGCAGTCGGCTCTGCTTCTTTAGCCACTTCCTCGTCTCTTTAAGGATCTTGTCTACTCCAGCACGAATCTCTTCTCGGTGTGTTTTTTCTTGGACTTTTGGTGGTGTCAAGTGACTGGCCAATGTGTCACTCAGCTTTTCAGCAAAACTTTCCAGCTCGTCACCGGAAAAGATGCTGGCTAATTTCTCAAAGGGGCAATCCTCTAATGACCCACGACTTGGTACCTGATTGTTTGTTGTAATGAACTCTGTTAAAAGATCATCCACACTCTTAATCAGCTGTGAATTGACTAATTTCACAGCTTCCTGTTCTTTACGGGAGGCCGGCTTGCGTCTGAATTTAGACATCATGCTCAGGATTGACCCTCGAGCAAATGTTTGGACAAAGACAGTCCTCATCTGCCTGATGACTTTTCTCCTGCGGTATCCTAAGAGATCTTCTGTGTGACATCCAGCCAGGTCCTGTGGAACATCCTCTGTAAAATTTTCAACAATCTGAGATGATAACTCTGATAACTCGTAGTCCTTGCTGGTTTGAGAAAGAAGCAGGCTATCTTCTTCCTCTGTGGAGTAACTCTGAGCATCATGAACAATCTCTTCCAGTTGTTGCTCCAGGATTTCTTTGGTCACATGAAAAATAGTCGGGGATTTGTTGACCGTAGACTCGGCCCTGCCTGGTTTCTCTTCTTGCAGAGAAGTTACAGAGGTCTGAGTGGGTACCACCACCTCTTCCTTCTCCTGCACAGTGCAGGTTGATTTGACTCGGTGCAACATTGTCTTCATCCTTTCGTAGCAGTTTTTGAGAATCCTCTTGAAGTGTCCCCTCAGTTTGATTAGAATAGTGGGGGAAGTCTTGTGCTCCTCCGAGTCGTCACTGTCACTTGTTTTAGACAGCCTGGAGTTTACTCTCTCTGTGACTGCTGTGACCATGAGCTCTGTCACCCGCCCGCTCTTAGGGTAGTGGATGTCTCCTACACCCTGTACCTCTGCCACAGTCTGTGCGATGACTTCACCCATGTTCCCTAAACATTCGCGCACGTCCTCCTTACACACAGATTTAGCAGATCCTGGTGACCAGTCTTTCTGTTTTTCAAGTCTTCTGTTGAGAGACTCATGCAGACTTTGAGCCAAAATTTCAATAACATTTACACACAAAGCTGTCACGCGAGTACTTGTCTCTGGGTCAAGACGCCCAGTCTCCAGTCTCTGCCAGTTTTCTGCCGTCAGCTGGTTCATGAACGCACGGACGACTGGCCTAAGAGTCTCTTTGGAGGCCAGATAAAAATTCAGTTCCATCCTCTCTGGTGTGCTGATGAGACTCATACCTGCGTTTGTGTTTGTTAGCTGTTTTAAAATGATTGCGTCTCTTTAAGCGATGATCTTAAAGCAAAGTCCAATTTGGTCTTTCTTCACCTCGGTGCAGTTAAACACTCGCTCTCATGCTGCCTTTGAATGCCTTTGACCTCAAGTCCTCAAAGCTCTGATGACATCACTGTGATGACATCAAAGCTTTTCATAGCTCTGATGTCATCACTGTGATGTCATAGCTGATGTCACTGAGGCTTCCTCCTGGAATTCCACGTTGCTATGGCAACGGATCACAACTAAATTCTGCCACACCCTAAAACTTAAAATAGGTCCTTTATTTAACAAACTGTCACAATAAATAAATAGATAAATAAAAAAACAAACAAAAAAACTGCTCAATAATGACAGGGAATCGTTTTTTTTTTTCCCCATATAGTTTCATATTTTTATATTTTGCATGACATTAAGTGACACAACTATTCAGTGACGTGCGGTCAGGGGAGGCAGGTGAGGCAGTGCCTCACCTGCCATCATGGAAAGAAAGAAAATATATAATCATAAAGTAATTTAAATTGTTATATTCATCCGGTGGTTTGTACTAAAAAATATTTATTTTTCCTGTAGCTTCACCAATTTCGATTTTTATTTGTTCAAAATCGCTGAATTTTCTTATTTTCCCATTCAAATGCTTGGAAGCGATGCCGGTGAGGCAGCAGCGAGCTCTGCCTCACCTTGGATTGCGCAACCCCTGGCTCTGCACTGGCTGCTAAGCGGAGAGAGCATGTTGCTGTACGGCGTCAATAAAATGGTTTAAACAAATTTAATATGTGAACTTATTTCCAATAATTTAGCTTATGTATATAATGTACAGTGCTTTTTGTCACCAACTGTGTTTGTGTAACGTGTTTCGTGTAATGAGCGATTATAAACGGCAGAGAACAGGTTCGAGGTGAGGCAGGCAGTTCTCTTGCCTCATGGCAGGGGGTGCTCAAGATCCCAGACGTTCGTCTTGTTCACTCCTCAACTGCCGAGTAAGTGACAGCGAGCTAGGCTAAACGATTCGGGAAGCAAGTCAAGTGCAGCGATAGATTATAATAGAGAGTGATTTTTTTCCTCTCGCTTATCCCGACTTTCGACATGGATGACTACATTACAACACTAAAAAAGTTTTCTCAAGTGGACTTTCAATCGAAGCAGGAGATAATAACCAAAGGAAGACCAACGCCGGAGCTGAAAGGTTTGTTTCAGACTACGGGACAGAAGGTTAACCGCTCTTTTCAAACCGAGTGGTATTCACGAAAAGACTGGCTTTGTGGATGTCCTGCTCGAAACCGCCTTTTCTGCTTTCCTTGCCTTCTTTTTTCAACTTGTGGCACTGTGTGGACTCAGATGGGATTTGGTGACTTGAAGAACTTGCAAAGATCCCTCACCAAATATGAGCGGTCCACCACTCATATTCAAAGCCAAATTGCGCTAAAAACCTTCGGCCTGTCCAGGATAGATTTGGCTTTGGATGAACAGCGGAGACTCAACATCAGCATCCACAATGCTAAGGTAAAGGAGAACCGAGAGATTTTAAAAGATCTCATCAATGCGACCTGCTTTCTCGCTAGACAGCAGCTAGCATTTCGTGGAAATGATGAGAGCATGGGCTCTGCTAATCGTGGCAACTATGTTGAACTCTTGCATGTCCTTGCTGAGAAAGATGACAGACTAGCTAGACATTTGGAGACATCCACTGTATTTTCCGGCTTGTCCAATAGAATACAGAATGAATTAATTGAAGCAGTCGGCGATGTCATTAGAAATGATATTAAGCAGGACATAAGTGCAGCCCCATTTGTAGCTGTAGAAGTCGACGAGACCACAGATGTCACAAGCAAAGCTCAGATCTCCGTCATATTGCGCTATGTGACTCAACCTGAAGCAGGCTGTAAGGTGAAGGAGGCGTTTTTGGGGTTCGATGATGTGAGTGCGGACAGACGTGCACCTGCCATAGCTGAGTATGTCCTGAGTGTGCTGGAGAAATACGGCTGTGTTGATAAGCTTGTAGCTCAGACATATGATGGGGCAGCTGTAATGGCATCAGAGCTTAATGGGGTGCAGGCTAAAATTAAGGAAAAGGTGCCTGAGGCCATGTTTACACACTGTTACGCACACAAGCTGAACCTGGTGCTATTGCATTCAGCAAAGTGCATGCCCAAGTGTCGTGCGTTTTTTAAAACAGCTGAGGGACTCGGGGCGTTTTTCAGCAAGTCCACAAAGCGCACTCGTTTGTTGGATGATGTTGTCAAGCGCCGTTTACCCAGAGCAGCGCCGACAAGGTGGAATTCAAATTCTCGGCTGCTGCAGACAATAAGCATGCACCAAAACGATCTGCGTGCTGTGTTCAATGTCATTATGGAAAATCCCGATAGCTGGGATAATGACACGCTGATGATGGCAGCAGGATATGATCGGTGGCTGTCAAAAGCATCTACATGCTTTCTTATCGATACATTTGATGGCATTTTCAATGAGACCGACGCACTTTTCAGAGTGCTGCAAAACAAAGTGACGGACATTGAATACTGTGTTGCGCGCATCCGGGACACAGTTTCAGTCATGGAGCGCATGAGACTGGAGTTTGACAGTTACTACCTCCGATTCGAGCAGAAATGCGGCGCACTTGGGTTGACAGATGGTACAGACAGACATTCGGCTAGAGATGAACGGAGACACCTGTTCTGTAACATTCTTGACAACATCAGCGATCAAATGAAGGCTAGGTTTGGCCATTTTGATGAACTTGCTTTCCTCGGTTTGGTGGATTGCGCAAAGTTCTATGAAATGTCACAACATTTTGATGACACGAAACTGCAGAGCCTGTCAAAGTATGCCAAGTTTTTTGACTTTGTCAGACTGAAGGCCGATCTCATTGGACTGTATAGCTCAAAAACGGTGAGGGATGAATGCAAATCTCCTGGACAGCTTCTCAACTTTTTGGCCGAGAAGGATCTTGTTGTAACTGTTCCTGAGGCGACAAAGTTGCTCCAGCTCGTGCTCACGGTGCCAGCTACTACAGCGTCAGTGGAGCGGTCATTCTCAGCCCTGAAGAGACTGAAAACATACAGCAGGAACAGGACAGATCAAGGAAGGCTTTCTTCCCTGGCAGTGATCTCCATTGAGACAGAGAGACTTTTAAAACTGAAGGAAGATAAGGAGGACTTCTATCGCAAAGTGACGGATGTTTTTGTGCAGAAGGAGCGACGCATGGACTTCATTTATACGTAAAGGTAAGACAGTAATAACATTTATTTTGTTTTGTTTTTTAAGGAAATGTGTGTTTTGTGAGCTACAGTTTGTATGTGTAAGGATGCAGAAGTGAAACATAACCTGTAAACTGCTGTCAATCTATGCATCTATTTGCAAATCTGATTCTGATGACGTCAGTGCCTCACCAGCTATGAACCTCACCACACGTCACTGCAACTATTACATTTACATTTCCAATTTCAAAAAATGTGGGAGACTGTGTAAAATGTTGATTTAAAAAATAACATCATTTTAACCCTATATTTTAATAGAAGCAGCGCAAAAATGACAAATCTGATGTTGAAACTTGTCCACACATTTGACTACAAGTTGTTCTCCGAAGTGATTAAATGTTAACTATGATCACAGCTTTTGATATTATTTAATTTTGACAGCAGTGTCTGTGGCACGTAAAGTCATGCCAAGCTTTAACTATGCAAACTTTGAACCATACAGAAGGCTCAGTTTCACATAGGGTCCTACAGTTTTTGTGTAGATTCAGTGGCTGAGAGTTGAGATATTCTTCTTTTTAATCCTGCCCCTTTCCCACAGTGCTGTTGAAGACATTTGCTCTTTATCTCCAGGTGAAACAAAACAATCTCATCTTCAACCTCTACAAGCCAACAAACCAAAACTGACATTCGTCAGCATGTGTGCAGCTGAACTTTGTTGGAGCTGAAGCTGTGAGATGTTTTTATGAAGACCAGAGAGGAGAGCATGGAGATAGTGGATTCTACATGAAGAAGAGTCTCTGCGTCGGCTCGAGAGAGAGAAACCGGCGCACTCTGGAGATCTTCTTTAAATGATAAAACGACTTTTTGGGAACATCTCATATGTGAGGCTCCAAACTGAGGTTCAACAGTCAATAATCCATTTATAGATGTTCATCAATACGTGTTAATAAGCTGCAAAGGAGCGCCGTCAGTGATTGATAAGTGATTGATTAAGGGTTCATTCGTTCATTCATTAATCTGAACCTCTCACGTATCATCTAATTAAAGTTAACCAGCGGATCCTGCTGAGTTCTTAACCAGGAGTCTCCAAGTCCTCCTGAAGGTCGGTGATGATTTGAATTCAGGGTCAAACGGGTTGAAATCCTGTCAATAATGACTCTTTATGCTGATGTTAACAGAGGTGTAAAAAAAAAATTATAAAAGACCAAAACCTTAAATTGGAAATAGCAAAAAACATGCGTCCTTCAATTTTCTTCATATTCACAGTAAAGAAAGACGATCATGTCCACTAGCATCCCTGCAAGTTTCAGGATGGGCATTCCATCACTTTTTGAGTAATCAGTCAAAACGTGTGGTTCGTTAGGTGGAAAATCGCCATATTTGGCACATTATACAGTCCTGACCTCATCTGGAGTAGGCCTGGACGATATAGAAAAAAAGCATATCGATAAAAAATAAATCATATTGATCGATATCGATTATTATCGATATAATTATTATAATTATTTAACATATATTTTAATTGCAGCCCTGGATGTTTTATGCTATTGCTTAATGACCTACTTTAAAAAAAGAACACACAAGCACTGAATTCAAATTCAAACCTTTATTCAACCACCTTTTTTTTTTTTTTACCACAACTGAAAGTTTTTTAAAAAAGAACTTTAAAAAAAAAGAAATCAACTTAAGTGGCCTGAGTGACGTCAGTAAATACTGACAAACATAAAGACTAAAGTGACCAGAAAATCTGATAAATAAATATTTAAATAGTCTTTTGATGAAAATAAACAAAACAAACAAATATATAAATAAACAGAATAGCTTTAGGTGGGAATAGCATACTACCAGTTTTAACTGTGTGGAAAACTGCCCACAGCCTGGTGTCTGAACACTGAAATATTTCTCCCGGGGTCGGGAGATTTATCTTTTTTAATTATCATGTGATTGACTTAATACACAAACTAAGCACGAGAAGCAGGACTTATCCACGCCGGTGTTGTGTCGTAGAATGCATCCCTGCCGAATGCACCCCCTGCTAGTAGCCATGATCCAAATACTCGCGTCTTTGTAAAATATCAGCTCATGTTCTTCCACTTTAAGAAGCTAATGAGTGGACGGGATGCAGGGGTGCATTCTACGGCACAACACCGGAACGTATTTCCTCCGCACCCTTCTCAGCTTTTCAACCCCTGACCCATTTTCATGCCTGAAGCGCTGTGTTTGAGAAATACTTGCGGCCGGGCACTTCATATCGCGGGTCGAGAGTGGCTAGAAGCTGTTTGAAGCCAGGCTTTTCAACGGTAGTTATTGGCAGTATGTCCCTCACTATGAAGCATGTTACTGCATGGGTGATGTCCTTATGCCGCTCGGACGCTTTGTCGTAGTTTTGGCAAGAAACGAAGTCCAGTTTGGTCTGCTTCACATGCTTAGTGCTGGTGCTGGCAGCGGTTCCAGAGGATTCCTCCGACGACGACGTGGAGCCGCGGCGCGGCCGACACAGCTCGTACTCCTGCGGGTGCGACCGGTTTAGATGGTAAAACAAGTTGGTTGTGTTACCAGACTTGGTTTTTACTAATTCTCTGCAAATTTTGCAAACGACCGCTGTTCGCTTTTTGTCAGACTTCTAAAAACCAAAACATTGCCATGCTGGTGAACTACTGAAACCTTTTTTCGGGACAATGTCCTCCGCTTCTCCTTGCTGTATCATTTTTTCTAATACACGTGCTGTCTGTTGTGGTTTGATAGGGGCTGGGCTTGGTGCCGTAGCGTACCTGGGTCTGCGTTTGTGATTGGTTGGGAGGAAGTAATGACTGTAGTAAAAGCTACATGATAGGCTATGATGAAAAAGAAAGGGAAACTGTGTTTTTCTATCGAACTTTTTATCGACCCGTTTTTTTTCTATCGCACCACACGTCTATCGATCGATATATATTATTATCGAATTATCGTCCAGCACTAATCTGGAGTCAGCCCCACTTGCCTGCCTGTGTAAAATATTACTTCCTCATAGTGCAAAATGCTTTTTTTGAGTGTTTTCATTTGTATGTTATCCCATATTGATATGAAAAATGGCTAGAATAGCTTATTTGTGCTCAGTTTTCCATCACATTTCATTTCTGTTTGCACCTACATCCAGAATATGATCTTAGCTTCATGGGAGAATCATTTGGACATACCTGCATGTCCTGGATCCTTAAGTTATTTGTCAACCCTAGGATCCAGGACATGCAGGTATGTCCCAATGATTTTTGTGTCATTATCTTTTGATTAAAAATGGCCAATTCTGATGAAGAAGAAACGTCACCTGTGGGAGACATGAACGGAGCAGCTGCACATTTCCAGCATGGTTAGCAGAGGATGGTTTCGATCCATCGACCTCTGGGTTTTAGGCCCAGCACGCTTCCACTGCGCCACTCTGCTATTTTATTTTATTTTATTTTTTTCAAGGTTTTTAGTCTTGTGTTGGGAGAAACCGAAGCACTCGGAGTAAACCCATTCGCTGGTGGCCATGTATGGGCCTGAAGTCTGTCCTCATATCCATCTAGGACTTCATGCGCGACAAGCTGCAGTTAGGCGGGAAGCCCAGGGGGTCCAAGCTGAAGTGAAAGTCCGGAGAAGACATCTGAAGAACTTTTGGATGGAGCTGGGTCTTTCTGATGAAAAATGCTTCATTAGAGCCTCAGCCACAGCCTCAAGGAGTGGTTGATCCTCTTCCAAGAGATTTAACCAAAGAACTGAAGCATCAACATTTTTGAGCACTTCTTTGTACACAGCTTTGCATTTCTTTTTGATGCTTTTCAGGCTCAAATCCACATGAACAGAAGTACCACTCATCTTTTCATACAGCATGTCTGTCAGTCTGGCTTCAGCTGATTTGTAGGTCTGATCGGGGAAGAAATTTTTCATGACTTTGCGTAAGAACATCTTCACAATGATTTGGCAAATCAGTGGGTCCCACAGAACAGATTCAGTGTTTTGACCAGATGGTTTTGCCACCTGAGCCTGTTCTACTTGCTCCTCAGCTGTGTAGACCTCTTCCTTCTCCTCCTCAGCTGTGTAGAACTCTTCCTTCTCCTCCTCATCTGAGCAGGCCTCTTCTTCCTCCTCCTCATCTGAGCAGGCCTCTTCCTTTTCCTTCTCAGCTGTGAAGCTTTGAACCTCCTCTCGCACAGGTGTGGGGCAGGTCTGATCCTCAGCTCCAGTTTCGGGGGGACTGAGATCTGACTGGTTATTCTGCACAAATCTCCTGAACTTCTTGAGAGTCATGCTCACACAGTCCTTCCAAATCTTGCGCAGTCGGCTCTGCTTCTTTAGCCACTTCCTCGTCTCTTTAAGGATCTTGTCTACTCCAGCACGAATCTCTTCTCGGTGTGTTTTTTCTTGGACTTTTGGTGGTGTCAAGTGACTGGCCAATGTGTCACTCAGCTTTTCAGCAAAACTTTCCAGCTCGTCACCGGAAAAGATGCTGGCTAATTTCTCAAAGGGGCAATCCTCTAATGACCCACGACTTGGTACCTGATTGTTTGTTGTAATGAACTCTGTTAAAAGATCATCCACACTCTTAATCAGCTGTGAATTGACTAATTTCACAGCTTCCTGTTCTTTACGGGAGGCCGGCTTGCGTCTGAATTTAGACATCATGCTCAGGATTGACCCTCGAGCAAATGTTTGGACAAAGACAGTCCTCATCTGCCTGATGACTTTTCTCCTGCGGTATCCTAAGAGATCTTCTGTGTGACATCCAGCCAGGTCCTGTGGAACATCCTCTGTAAAATTTTCAACAATCTGAGATGATAACTCTGATAACTCGTAGTCCTTGCTGGTTTGAGAAAGAAGCAGGCTATCTTCTTCCTCTGTGGAGTAACTCTGAGCATCATGAACAATCTCTTCCAGTTGTTGCTCCAGGATTTCTTTGGTCACATGAAAAATAGTCGGGGATTTGTTGACCGTAGACTCGGCCCTGCCTGGTTTCTCTTCTTGCAGAGAAGTTACAGAGGTCTGAGTGGGTACCACCACCTCTTCCTT